AATGGTGGAAACAGATCCACAAATGATTTGTAGGCAGTTTATAAGCCTAAAAATGGGTAGGGGAAAAAGAGAGGGTGGGAGGGATGGGGGGTGGGAGTGGGAGATGGGGGTTGGGCGGGAGGGAGTGGGGGAAGGGGAGGTGGGGTTAACATGCTGCACGATAGAAGGGCCTAATAGGAGGAGGCGTATTAGAGGAGAGATAGACAGAATTAAGAAGGATGGAAGAAATACAGTTTATAACATATAATGTGAATGGGTTGAACTGTCCTGGGAAAAGATTTTTAAGTTGTTTAAAGAGTTACATCACGGGGCAACGTCAGTGGTATTTTTACAGGAAACACATTTTGAGATAGAGTCAAATGTGAAATTAAAATCCAAATATTATCCAACATGGTATTACGCTGACTCTCCAATTAAAAGAGCAAAAGGGGTGGCAATAGGGTTGGCAAAGAACATGAGATTTGAGCTGGAGGATAGAAGGACGATCCGGAGGGGAGATTCCTGTTTTTGAAAGGTAAATTACAGGGAATCGAGTGTACATTAGCCAATATATATTGCCCCAACAAAAAGCCGGAGATCTATTTGAAGGGTCTGTTGAAAAAAATTGATAGACTTCAAAAAGGGTGTTTGATAGTAGCAGGAGATTTAAATCTCTGTATGGACCCCCAAAAGGATGCAACCTCCCCTGTGCAGAGAGAAGGGGTAGGTCTCTGAGAGCTTTGAAGAAAGCGATCCATGAGTACCAACTGGTGGACACTTGGAGAATAATGCATATGAGAGACAGAGACTATACCTTCTTCTCTAATGCACATGAGATATTCTCGAGGTTGGATTATATTTTAATAGATCAACTCATAGAACTATTGGTTAAAATAGAAATAGAGATGAGTACATTCTCGGATCATGCCCGTCATAATGAAAATGGGATGGGGAAGACGTGGACGGGAGGTCTAGGATGGAGGTTAAATGAGGCCCTTCTTTTGGATGAGGACATAGCTCAGAAGATTGGGGAAGAGATCAAGCTATATTTTAAGGAGAATGAGACAGAGGAAGTATGGACAGGCACAGTATGGGAAAGCCACAAGGTATATATAAGAGGTATCCTGATTGCGATGGGAGCAAGGAAGAAAAAGAGAAAGAAGAGAGAGGGGTTAGTGGGCTCCTAAAAGAAATCCTGGATTTAGAGCAGATACAAAAGAAGAAAATAACAGGAGAAATAAGACAGAAGTTAATGGATAAAAAAGATGAGTTAGAGAGATTGATGGACGAGGAGAGGAGAAGAGTATATAACAAAGTACTAAATGAAAGATATAGATGGGGAGACAGACCAGGAAAATACTTAATGAGAGCTCTGAATAAAAAGAAAAATAGAAATTATATAGAAAGGATAAAAAAATCCTAAGGGGGAGTTGGTTTATTCAACCAAAGAGATTATTAAAGTGTTCACGGAATACTATAGAAAATTGTATAATATTAGTCCCCATGGCTCTTCAAAAGAAAATGAAAAGGATATTAACGAAAAAAGGATGATATATTTAAAAAATGCAGGATTACCAAAGTTAAGTGAAAATACAATTGAACTCCTTGGATGCGGAAATTTCCCAGGATGAAATAAAAGCAGCATTAAGAAGTACAGGGGGTGGAAAAAGTCCAGGACCGGATGGGTATACAGTTAAGTACTATAAAAAATATAGTGAAATATAGTGAAATATTGTTACCTAAGCTGAAGAAGTATATGAACGACCTGGGAGGAGGGATGGAGGGGGGAGAAAGGAGGGAAAAGATCCTTCCCAGTGTTCTAGCTATAGACCAATTTCATTAGTGAACACCGATACTAAGTTGTACGCAAAGGTTCTAGCAAATAGGCTGAAAGATTTAATGCCTGAATGGATACACGGAGATCAGGTGGGCTTTGTCCCAGGGAGAGAGGGTAGAGACAATGGGTTGAGAACTCTGATGCTCATTCAGAAAAGTAGAAAAGGGAAAGCCCCGGTGGTACTATTGTCGATTGATGCCGAGAAGGCGTTTTGATAAGTGGACTGGGGCTGCATGATGGACAACTTAGAAGTGTTGGGGATTGGAGAGAGAGATGCGTGAGTGGATAGGTAAATTATATAGGGAGCCCACCGCAATTATCACGGTAAATGGGGGACGAGGTCGGAATCCATTGGGATGTCCAATGGAACAAGACAGGGCTGCCCACTGTCCCCCCTGCTGTTTGTTCTGTCATTGGAACCCCTGTTGTCTACGATAAGGAATAGTGGAGCGGTAAAGGGAATCCAGAGAGAAAATATAGAACACAAAGTAGCGGCCTTTGCGGACGACCTATTGTTTTATGTAGAAAACCCCGAATAACATTACCAAATATAATGAAGATCTTGAAAGTAATATGGTGATCTATCAAATTTAAAAATTAATCCAACAAAAACAGAGATCTTGAACATCAATATACCAAAGAGTGAAAAAAGGAAAAGCTACAAAAAGAAATCCCCTTTACATGGAGAGAAAAAGATTTAAAATACCTAGGAATAAAAATTGCTATCTCATTATAAACAAACTGTATAGATTAAACTATATTTCTTTGATAAATGAGACCAAGGAAGAATTAAAAATATTAGAAGGAGGAAACCCATCATGGATAGGACGTATAAAACCTAATTAAAATGGTAATCATACCTAAAATTACTGTATAGATTCCCAAATCGGGTCCAATCAAACTCCCAGAGGCTTTTTTTAAGATAATGAAAAAAATGTTAACAAGATACATCTGGAGAACAAAAAATCAAGAATATCATACGAAACATTGAGTAGAACTAAAGAGAAAGGGGGAATGGGACTACCTGATGTCAAGAGATACTATAAAGCAGTAATTTTAGCAAGAATTTATGAATTGGACATTTAACCATAAGGGGAAGAGTTGGGTAAAAATTGAAAAATAAATTAAGTTGGATTAGTTTTGAGTAAGATGATATGGGTCCCAGCACATCTTAGAAGAATTGAAGAAAGCACAAGTATTTACACTTTAAATGTTTTAAGGTATGGGGAATAAATTACACAAAAGTATGAAATGGGAATTCAATTCTATATTAATGCCTCTTGTAAATACTGATTATTTTCCCCCAGGAAAGGATGGAGATATCTGGGAGATGGTTTAAAGGGAAGATATCCAACAGAGAGATGTACTGGTAGAGGGGGAATTTAAAGAATTAAAAGAGAAGAAGGGAGACATTTTTTATTGAATAGACGAGTGGAAATATCATCAGTTAAAATGTTTTATTGGAAAACTACCAAAACCCCTGAGATTAAAAAAGGAGTGGAATATGTTTGAAAGGTTGTTAGAAACACGTAGAGATGGGAAACATGGTATTGCTAAAATTTATAGAATACTCACAGAACTAGACACAGACACAAAGTTAATTTTTATAACGAAATGGGGAAAGAGATATGGAGGTGGTGTTAGATGAAGATCAACAGAACAAGATATTTAGATTGATACACGAGAATGTTAGTATGAGAGACGTGGAGATTTAATTATAAATGTTTGACACGATGGCATAGTACACCGAGTATTGAGCACAAGATGAGTGGGGAGAACTCAAAAATGTGTTGGAGAGGTTGTGTGGGGAGTGGGCACGGTGTTTCACATATGTGTGGTGGCAATGTCCGAAAATTCAGGCTTTTTGGAAGACAATAGTTAATTTAATAGAAATAATAACTGGAAATGACATAGGGTTAGACCCAACGATGTGTCTCCTACATAATGTTGGAGACTACAGTAAATAAATATAAAGAATCAGGCGCGTATGGTACTATTTAAATGCTGCAAAGGGGTTGATACCCAAGTTCTGGTAAAAAACAGAGGTGCCGAAGGAGGAAGACTGGATCAATAGAGTAAATCAGATTAGTAGAATGGAAAAATCTTACTATATGCAGGAAGATAGGATGGGAATATACTATACAAGATGGGAAAAATGGGAAAAAATCCGGATTGAAAGAGAAATATAGAAAACTATAAAATTAAGAAATTATTGGGCCTCGAGAGATTGTAGAACGTGCAGAGGGGAGGGAGGGGGTAGGGGGGTGGTGAAAGGGTTGGGAGGAGGGAAAGAAAAGAGTTATTAGAAGGGGCAAGGTAGAAATGTAAGGATTATTTATATGTATTGTTGTCTCTTCTTATGGAATTTTTGTAATAATATGAAAAACTAAAAACTGACTTTACTACCACTTTTATGTAGAACTTTTTTTTTTTTTTTTTTCATTTTGAATAGAGTAAGAGAAGGTAATAGCTGCTTTCAGTTTATTTTTTACCATCTGTGTTGCATTGGGGAGATTTCCCTTCACTTTTTGTCCCATAGCCAGCAAGAAGTGAGTGGAAATCCCTGCAAATTAAGGGAATCTCTTCCGGGCCTCCCAGGTCACCAGAACTAGTGTCACCATTGGAAGACCCCCCCCCCCCCCTTGATTACTGTGCTGGGGAAAATCAAAATTTGGGATTTTCTTAAATTATTCTGGAATCTTCTGGAAGCTGTAAATCACTGTAGGTGGCACTGCTTCTTCAGTGATCTCCGCTAGTTTATGAATCTCTGCCCTGCTGCTTACTGAACCCAGGAGGTTGCCTGCTGGGCTCGGGAGCTATTCAGAGAACATTTTGTGTTTTTTCACAGAATGCAAAGCATTCTCTGTGTGGACGAGGTGGGGATTGTGGTGTCACTGCTCCTCATCTCCTGGGTTTATGATACAACAGTACAGTCTCTTGGCACTGGATCTGGATGTTAGTGGAGATCACTGGTGTAGCAGTGCCTACTACAGTGATTTCCAGCTTCCAGAGGCATTGGCCAGGTATAGTATATACATGTTTACATTGTTCTAAGCTGTCTCTATGTAAAAATATCCATACTTGGAATTCAACTTTATTGCATCATATAAACCTAAAATATGTGTTGTTGATAGCAATTAGCTTAGCTAACGTACCTTATGTGAAACGTGTGTTTGTTTTCAAGCATTTACGGCCTTATGAAGCCAATGGAGAAGTGACCTTCTATAGCATAGAGTGGAAACCTCTCCACAGTAACGAGAAACCTCAGTATATCCGCCTGTCTGGAGAGTCCAACAGAACCCAGATAAACCTTCCTGCTGGGGATAACGGGGATTATGAAATAAATGTAACTGCCATCAATTCAGCTGGATCATCACCACCTTCAAGTATGACCACTGTTCAACTGCTAAGTGGTAAGTAAATCTGGTTTGACTTGATCTCCATCACAAAAAGAGATACATTTACATTTTTTTTATAGTGATCGCAAACTTGTAGTTTTTGTATTTTCAGAATAAATCTCCTAAGCCTATTAAAACAATATACAAAGATTTTTATTATATGTGTATTTACAGTTGCAAAGGGTTTTTTTACATTTTCATTACTTAAGTTACAGTCAAAGCAGTGTAACTACAGATAGCTAAAAATAGGTTGGGGGATCACACATCTATAGACCTTGCTCAAAAAAAGTTTCAAGCGGGTAGATCATGCAGTACATACAAAGGAGCAGAGAGGGCGCAATAGTAGTAGTAATCAGAAACTGATAACCATAGGCCTACCATAGAGCATATGTGGTCTTGGAATAGTGAGTTGGAGGGGTGAACTGGTTTTAATTAGGTCTTGTTATTTACATAAATTTGAGAGATGGAGACAAGGGGGTGTTGTGTTTAGATAGAAGTGGAATTCAAATGGGGGAATGAATGGCAGGGGGAAATAATAAAGATGGAGGGAGAGGGCAGTGTGACAGGGGGGTTAACTTAAAGGCCTTTTTCTTTTCTTTTTTTTCAAGTAGAACCCCAACTTTGGTAAAGCAATGTTTATCATGAACAGTTGCTATATTTTCAATAAAATAGTTATTGGGTTTTAATCTTCCTTAACTGTGCTTTGTATGGTCAACTTCTGACAATGTTTTTACCTCTGTTTGTGATTTCCTCTCCTGGTGAAAAATACTCCTCAATTTTTTTTCTTTTTTCCTTTTCAAATGACCTCAAGTTAAATGCTCAAAATATGTGCCCCTTGAAAATATATAGCACTTTTCGTTTAAAAAAATTGAAAAAATTATAAGCTTTAATGTGTTAGTCTCAGTTTCAGAGGCACTTTTTCATCATCTTTTCGGCTCCATTCACACCAGATGCAGTGGGACTGGGCGGTTATTCCAACACAGTCCTACTGCATGACAAGGGAAAATGCCTCATCTCCTGCGTGCCCGATTCACACCACTGCGTTATAGTGGTGTGCAGGCACATGCACTGAAAAGGGACGGTGCGGTACAAACCAGTGGTTCTTAGCAGACCAGACCGCACACAGCTGCTGCATTCTAAAGAATCTACTGGTGTGAATGGACCCTAAATCAGCTGTTTTTCATTTACATAATCGTGGAGATACTGCTGTGAAGTTCCTTGTTTAGGCACTTCCTTTCATGGGGTGACAACACTTTGTCCCCATCTCCTAAAGGTTTTCCTGCATTGTCACCCTGTCACCTAGACTTCAGATGGAGACAAGTGGCAGTTTCAACACCTATGGTTGGACACAGGAATGGGCCATTGTTGTCACCATCAATAAACCCGCCCTGAGAAGTTTTGCAGCCATTGCTGGATTACAAATATATAAAAAGGGGGTGCAGCGCTATAATGATATCAGGATGTAATGCAATACACAGTATGAAAGATCCGAGACCTATATTAAGGTCATCTAAATCCAAAAATAACAATATAAATAATTATAAAATGACAGATCTGAACCCATATGAAGGTCATCAATATCCAAAAAGCAAGTGCCACTATTGGTGGTAAATTAAAGTGACAAGGTGCAAATGTACATAAAAGGTGATCATAGGTGTGATTAAAGTGATAGAGTCCTTGCATAGAAATTAGACGTGAAGTCTCAAATAAGGGTGATCCTTTAAAGATTCTTCTGGTGATAATCAAATATTAAAATTACGCACTCACCAGATGCACAATAATGTAGCGCTTTGAGAACATAAATCTCATGGGGTCAACTGGATCATCCTGTGGGCGTCTATCCCTGCTAAGGACTCACTCCTGGGTCATCAATGCACCTCACACCTCTTCTCTTTAATAAGACTCTGTGGGTGGTAGGGCTCAGAACAAGAGCCCCCAAGAAAGGATGCCGGGATAGTGTGATGTTGTTTCAAACTTTTATTAATCCAAAAGTGCAGCAGGTAGCAGGTAAAAAACAAACACTAACCATATACAGGATTCCAAGATGGCCGCCGGACCAGCGTGGGCCTCAGCGGTGTGACATCTGGACACTGCGGCTCCTCCCTATTGCTGGATTACAGGTAGACAAGAAGTGGCTGCAAAGACACTGCAGGAGATCACCAGCACTGCGATGCCATAAGATTTATAGGAAGGGTGAATACGCGCAACTGTACTGTACAAAACTAAACACCATTTATTTAGAGATTGCATTTACAATTTTGGCCTTTGTCTTCCTTTAGAGGTTGAGGTGGAGAGAGCGATTGGAGATAGCAGCGGCATTAACATTACTTGGAGTCCGGATTCAAACTTTAGCTGTGGTTACTTTGTAACATGGGTGCCGTCCTTCCATCTTCAATGGGCTGACTTGCAGTGGAAGAGGTTTTCATCACACGTGACAAGTGCTTTCATCCACACACGTAAGTTGAAGCACAACTGTCCCCCAGTTTTGATGGACATACCAAAAATATGAAGTCCTATGTTGGCCTGCATTGTAGAGTAGGTTCTTCCTGGTGCCAGCCTATACATTTTATTTATGTGAAATATATGCTTTCATTGAGTTCCAGAAACCATTGCATTCAGACACTTGCTCTTGATTAAAAAGCCAACATTTATATATCTTTGAATCCCCTCCACCCACTGCCATTTCTCATTTCCACCCACTTTTTTTCTATCAACAGTTGATAAAAACAACCAACACGTTTCAGGTGCAACACCACTCCCCCCTTCATCAGGGTTATGACTATATACCACAAAATCTAGAACATCGCATATTAACAGATTATATGTGATGTTCTAGTTTTTTCAGTATGTATTCATATGCAAACGTAGACATCATCTTCATCATTGAGTGTGTTTTTATTTTATTCTCATAGTCTTGATGAATGGGGGAGTGGTGTTGGCCCTGAAATGTATTGGCTGTTTTTATGACTTTTTTTTTTTTTTAACACTTACAATTATCTTGGATTCTTTTATCTGATTTTAATCTGGCGTTCCTTACTTTATTTCTATAGCTTGAGTTAGGCATGTGTGGAAGGAAAGAAAATCTTTGGATTCCCCCATCAACACTGACTGCCTCTCACAGCACTATTGGATTCTGCCAGTGGGGGGGGGGGGAGGGGGGGTAATGCAGGGAGCTTTCCTAGCTGGCAGAATACAATGATTACTGGTAGCGGCTATAGCCTCAGGCAGCAATCGAATGCCTAAAAATCCAACAGGCTGGCTGTACCCAAGTTTATTGCTGGATAGGCTTTGATATAATCGGCCTGCCCATAAATGGATCAATTCTTGGCCGGTCCATGCTGAACCGGCCAAAATTTGATCCATCTGTGGCCGGCTTTACTGTTGATTGCCCATGAGGGAAGGCTTGCTGTGTGGAAGCTGCCTGCATATGCAAGTCTGTAAGTTCCCAGCTCCTCTTTGAGTATGCTGTTCCTGTGAGTATAGAGACCTTTCTTTTAGACAGAATGTTAGCATTGGCCCTAATACATTTTAAAGTGAAGGTGACCTGGCTTAAAATATTTCTAGTTGAAAAGAAGTGCTGAAGAACAGAAAAATTTTGCTGCGTCCAAGTAGTTGGATTAATCTTTCACTGTACCCTGTGGAGCCCCGTGAATCCTGGGCCCAGACTGGACATGATACTTAAATTTCTGCTTCCAGTACAGCCCTACGCTCTCTTACATGAAACTCTGACCCTTCCACTCAGACCTTCAGCATGTATTAGAGGTAGTCATTTGAAAGCTCATTGACAAGGGGTGGTACTTAGTGCTTGGAGGCAACAAAGCTTCATCGCAACTTTGGCTGAAATCAAGTCCTCATGTTCATGCTAGGCCTACGATTAATGCAGGTACTTGCAGAAATCATATGGTTCTGGCACATCAACATTGTTGTTACCTTAAAGTTCTGCCCCCTCCCAAAAAAAAATAGTCAGCAGCTACAAGTACTGTAACTGCTGACTTTTAGGATTAGGGCACTTACTTGTCTAAGGGTCCAGCAGTGTCATCACCCCAAGCCGGTTCTTCAATCGGCTGTTTGGTGCTGGCGCCGCCATCTTGACTAAGTGAAACTGGCCTTGCGGCTTCACAGGTGGTTTCCTACTACACATGTGCGAAACACACTGCACTTTGTGAATGGGCCGCAGTTCTTTGGGGCCAGTTGAGTTTCCCAGAGGGTGGTGGGACAGTGAACTTCTGGCTCAGTTCGCCGCAACGAATTGAGCTGGAAGTGGGTACTGTAAAAACCAGGTACCCGCTTCCCCCTCCCCCCCCCCCAAAAGGTGCCAGATGTGGCAGTGAAGGGGGGAGGAAGCAGATGAGCAGAGCTTCCAATTTTGGGTGGAACTCCACTTTAGACCCAGTTTGCTTTTCATTGGGATGACTTTCGACTTTCATGTACTTATTTGTAGTTTTTGTCATTTCTTTCTCAGAACAAATGCTAGCTGGAGTCCGGCACAATGTATCACTGTATGGCTGCAGAGAGTACAGGTTTCAGCTGCTGCGAAGCCTCATCGCATACACAGAGGAACTATGTAAGTCATTCCACAGTCACCATTACTACAACCTGTTGGCCACAAGAACAGAATGCAATTTCGAGTTCCTTTGAAACAGCAGCTACTTACTTTTTCTGTATTGTAGAAGTTTTACATTTTATCTTAAATTTTTTTGCATTCACAGCCCCCAAAGCGGCACCAAATTTTACTGTCCAAGAGACCACATCAAAGTCCATACAGGTGAAGTGGGATCCTATTCCAGAAGATGACCTACGCGGGTTTCTGCAGGGTTATCTGATCTATGTAGTGAAAAATCAGAGCGATTCCTATTTTGCCAAGTTTCGAGATCTGGGTAATTATTTATTTAATAAGGAAATGTCATAAACCTCTCTCACAGTCTTCCATTCACACCTGGGCATTTTTATATCTGTTTTTGCACCTAAGCCTTTATGTGACAACTCTCAGCAATAGAATCCCTATTCTGTTCAATACAGGCTGTTCACATCTCTCTGTGCTCAGTCACTCAAACAAGGTACATGAATATTTTTGTAGCTGTGTCATGCATTATTGCAAGTCATTTAGACTTCATTAGGATATATAAATCATTAGGACCTATAAATGTGCAACACAAACATTTTCATGTATCTTTGTGCCTCAACAACCGTTCTCTCTCCTCCCACCCAGGTTTGCGTACACTTGCAAAAATATTTGTAAACTAAAAAAAATGCCTATATGTGCGCATAAAATGCATGTATAAGCACCTATTGTGAACGGAGGCTCCACTTTCTCTCTCTCTCTCTTTGCTCTTTTTTTCCCTCTCTCATATGTCATATTTGTTTCTCTCATTGTCCTCCTTTTCCCCTTTCCCTCTTTTCTTTCATTTTGAATTTACCTATCATTTCCTTTCCCAGTGAAAAACATGAATTCGGATTATTTGACATATTATATTAACGTTTTCTGTTAACGCATCTTTTATTCGTTTTTCCCAAGTTCGTCACTCTGAGACAAAACTAAAGAATATCACAGACCCAGCTATAAGAAAATTGGATATCGAAGATCTACAAAGTGGAACAAATTACCAACTGGGTCTGCAGGCCTATACCAGAGGGGGGCAAGGCCCAATCAGATCATTCAGTGTTGTAACTAATGATAATGGTGTGTACTTAACTGTCACATATGTTTTCATATGACACCTTATCAGTGCCAGTGCTATTAAGGCCTTCTTTTTCAATTTCTGCACTTTACAAAGTATTTCTGAGAAGATTGTTAGTCGGCATAGGGACCTTGTGGATTCTTATAGGTATTGATATATGTATACTTTACCCAGTTAGACAAATATATATATGTATACTGCTCAAAAAAATTCTAGGAACACTCTCATGCTGGATATCTATACTGATATGGACTGGGTAATGTTTTAGGAACGTAAGGATGTCCCATCGTTTGATGGAAATGAAAATTATGAATTTGAAAAATGAAAAAGGTACTCAGTAGTTTGTATGGCCCCCATGTGTTTGTATGCATGCCTGACATTGTCGGGTCATGCTCCTAATGAGATGACGGATGGTGTCCTGGGGTATTTCCTCTCAGATCTGGACCAGGGTGTCACTGAGCTCCTGGACAGTCTGAGGTGCAACCTGGTGGCGTCAGATGGACCGAAACATGATATTCCAGAGGTGTTCTGTTGGCTTTAGGTCAGGCAAGCATGGGGGCCATTCAATGGTATCAGTACCTTCATTCTCCAGGAACTGCCTGCATGAGGCCGGGCATTGTTGTGCACCAGGAGGAACCCACTGCACCAGCGTAGGGTCTGACAGTGGGTCCAAGGATTTCATCCCGATACCTAATGGTAGTCAGGGTGCCATTGTCTAGACAGGCAGTCAGCACAGGGCCCATTAAAGGTCGTCGGGCCCTCAGGCCACCCTCATGAAGTCTGTTTCTGATTGGTCAGAGACATTTACACCAGTGGCCTGCTGGAGGTCATTTTGTAGGGCTCTGGCAGTGCTCAGTCCTGTTCCTCCTTGCACAAAGGAGCAGATATCGGTCCTGTTGATGGGTTAAGGACCTTCTACAGCCCAGTCCAGCTCTCCTAGAGTAACTGCCTGTCTCTTGGAATCTCCTCCATGCTCTTGAGACTGTGCAGGGAGACACAGCAAACCTTCTGGCAATGGCACGTATGGATGTGCCATCCTGGAGGAGTTGGACTGCCTGTGCAACCTCTGTAGGGTCCAGGTATGGCCTCATGCTACCAGTAGTGACACTGACCCTAGCCAAATGCAAAACTAGTGAAAAACAGTCAAAAAAGATGAGTAGGGAAAAAAATGTCAGTGGCCTCCACCTGTAAAACAATTCAAGTTTTTGGGGTTGTCTCGTTGCCCATCTAGTGCACCTGTTGGTATTTTCATTAACACCAAAGCAGCTGAAACTGATTAACAACCCCCTCTACTACTTAACTGACCAGATCAATATCCCAGGAATTTAATTGACTTGATGCTATACTCTGATTAAAAAGTGTCCCTTTCAATATTTTGTGTGTGTGTGTGTGTGTATATATGTATGTGTGTGTGTGTGTATATATATATATATATGTATATATATATATGTGTTGTGTCTATAGTCAGCATTAATATTACTATTTCTGATGACAGTGATAATTTCATAGAAAAATAATGCTTTATTAATATTATTATTATACAGTATTTATAAAGTGCCAACAGTTCGCTCAGCGCTGTACATTACAATGGGAAACAGAACATGCGACAGTACGATAACAATACAATGCGATACACGAGGGGTTCAAGGGCCCTGCTCTTTCGAGCTTACAATCTAGGAGGGAGGGGATAGTGGCACAGGAGGAGATCGCTGTGGGGAATGGAGTGGTAGGAAGAGTGGAGGAGGGGGCAATTAGCAAGGGGTGGGGTAGGCTTCCCTGAAGAGGTGGATTTTCAGGGTGCGCCTAAAGGAGAGGAGAGTAGGTGATAGTCTGATGGATTGGGGTATGGAGTTCCAGAGGATGGGTGACGCCCTGGAGAAGTCCTGGAGGTGGGTATGGGAGGAGGAGACCAGGGAACTAGAGAGAAGGAGGTCTTGTGAGGAGCAGAGTATGCGTGTTGGGTGGTATTTAGATATTAGGTCGGTGATGTAGTTTGGGGCAGTATGATGGACAGCTTTGTACGTCAGTGTTAGGATTTTGAATTTGATCCGTTGGGCAATCGGAAGCCAGTGGAGGGATTGGCAGAGGGGGTTGGCGGAAACGGAGCGGTTGGTAAGGTGGATGAGTCTAGCTGCCGTATTCAGGATCGACTGAAGCGGGGATAGCCTGTGACGAGGCAGGCCAGTGAGGAGGGAGTTGCAGTAATCGAGTCGTGATATGATGAGGGAGTGGATGAGCTGCTTAGTGGTTTCCGGGGTTAGGAACGTGCGCATTTTGGCGATGTTGTGGAGGTGGAGTCTGCATGAGTTAGTTAGTGATTGGACTTTGGGCTGGAAGGATAGATTGGAATCAAGTATGACCCCAAGTACTCTGGCTTGTGGGGGCAGGCCTGATGGTGGCATTGTTGGGCGTGATGGAGAACTCAGTGGGGGGTGGTGTGCGGGCTGGGGGGAAGACGAGGAGCTCGGTTTTGGAGAGGTTCAGTTTAAGGAAGTGGAGCGACATCCAATCTGATAAGTCGTTCAGTAGGTTTGTGATTCGGGCGGAGACTGAGGGGGTGAGGTGAGGGGTGGAGAGAGATTTGCGTGTCATCGGCATAGAGTTGGTAGTTGAAGCCATGAGAGTGAATCAGTTGGCCAAGGGAGGAGGTGTAGATGGAGAAGAGAAGGGGCCTGAGGACAGAGCCTTGAGGGACCCCAACAGAGAGGGGGAGTGAGGGGGAGGTGGTAGCGTTGTAGGTAACGCTGAAGGAGCGTTGTGATAGGTAGGACGAGAGCCAGGAGAGAGCGGAGTCTCTGAGGCCAAGGGAGTGTAGCTTTTTGAGGAGGAGGGGGTGGTCGACTGTGTCGAAGGCCGCGGAGAGTAATACAGAGTGTGTGATTCTTTACAAGTGAAGCTGATTTTTACTATTGCTTATAATACATGAAAACATATAGCCTAATTTGTGCAGCCAAATGCCAAAAAGATTCAAAGTGTAAATTTCTTTCTTTTTCTGTTTAAAGCTGTCGGTTTAATCCTCGCCATTCTCATCCCCATTGTTGTCGCCGTTGTACTCGGTATAGTCACAATTGCCATATGCTACCACAAAAGAGAATGGTAAGTAAAGAAATGCCTGTGTGGTCAGTCCTTTGGTATCTGCAGAAGAGGATTCTGGCTTAATGACAATTTTACACTTCTTGTGAATGATATATAATTTTTTCCCCAGCATGCTATGGCTGCTGTTGGCACTGTGCTTGGAGTTTTCCCTTTTCAAAACAGTGTAACAAAGAAAACACTTTACAGTGTGTCTGTGAGGGTTTTCATTTATCCAGGTCATGGTATATCTAGTAGTAGTGAGTCCCATTCAACTGGGCTTGTTCTGTAATGTTGAAGATGTCTCGTAGCTTGTCCACGTCACTTCTTCGGTTCTGATGAGTGTCATGTCAGCAAGTCATAACCATGACAACTTATTTTTCATCTGAGGGTTCACATAACATCCTGTCTAGAAAAAAACACATCATATTGCTTTCCTTTATGTCCCCATTCTCTCTGGCAGATCACTGATCTGTAAGGACTGAAATTGGTCACAATAAATAAAAATAAAACATAGGCAAAGCAAAAGAGAATGGTCACTTTCAGCTGAGGGGTTACAGTTGACGTTATGTTCTCTAATGCATCAATGACTGTTATGTCTCTGACATGAAGTTAGCGGAACTAATGTCCGTGATACTTGCCTTTCCTTCAACGTTCCAATGTCCCTCGCCGGCGCTGGCATCTTTTACCCACTTTTTTCTGGGTGCCAAGCTGCAGCTGTTTTCATTGGCCATCATGAGATGATGTCACTCCTGCACATGCTCAGGAGTTCAGTCATTGCGGCACAGATCCTTGCACAGCCCAGTGTACAGAAGACTGTTAGCAGGCAGGGAGGTTTATTTTATTGCAGGAGAGGCATTGCATGTCTGCCTACTCTCAGTCTTTGAAATTGAGACTTTAGTTCTGCTTTAAGGCACAGCTGACATGTAGCATGAATAGGGTGTGTCTATGTGTATGCTGTATGTATGAAGTTATTTGTTTTTAATGCAAAAATGGCATGCCATCTGTTTGTACAGGATCAAAGAAACCTTCTACCCAGATATTCCAAACCCTGAAAACAGCAAAGCTCTGCAGTTTGAGAAGAATGTCAGCGAGGTAAGTCTGCCGCCAATGCAAGCTGTACAACAACGGACGCATTTTATAAAGATAATTGACTTTCATTGGATGTTTAAAAAAGTTTAAAAAGTCCTAGACAACATTTGTGTATACAAAGCATGTGGTCTCATTCTTGTGCTGCAGCTTCATGAGTCCAAGCAGAAAGTAGAGGTCAAACGACACACAGGTGATCCTTAAATGCCCAACTCCAGCCAACACCTGGTGGTAAGGGGTGGGAATTTGAACCTCTGCCTGATTTAAAATGCTGTTTGTGTCCCTGCCATGTTTCTTTTAATTTTTTTTAAATACTGTGTACTCATTGATATTCCCCTCACTTCTTATTCTGCCTTACACCTGTCACCTTGAAAGAAAATGAGGGGAAATTTCCATAACGGGGACACAGACAACAAAAGAATACTGACAGAGGTTCTAAACCTGTATTGCTCTACTAAGAAAAAGTTTCCAAGACTTGCATGACACTACTTGCCTATCTTTACAAGCAATAAACACCTAACAGAGGTTGTAATTTCTTCTACTCAATCCAAAAAATTATATTTGATTACTGTTTGTTATTTGTTTTACCTTTTTAAGATAACTTCTTGCCCATATATAATGCACAGGCGTCCCTTCTTATTTTCTTGTCTAGTAGTGGACAGTGCTCAATTATGCGGAGTTGTCTTAATGATGTCATCGCTGTTATTATTATTATTATTATACAGTGTTTATATAGCGCCAAAGGGTTTTCTCAGCGCTGTTATTAGCAGTATTGTTCTTTAGGTATAGGGTGCTATGACCAGCTGTGGGTTCATAGCTGCCTCCTGAGCTCACAGGAACTGAATGATGATGGGCATCATTTAGCCCAGAACTAGGCCAGCAGAATGATAAAACTCCAGGACACAGCACTGGGGAGAAAATAATTATTGCAGCTATATTAATGAAATCTATAGTGAGCAGAAATAGGTGTTAGTGAAGGAATATGTGTCTTGTTGGTAGAGGAGCTTGTAAGTAAAACATTACTACATGACAGACAAATAACTTCCTGTCTACCATTTATTTCCAGGGTACCAAAACTATTAAAACACTGGAGATGAACCCATGTACCCCTAACAGTGTTGAGGTGGTTGAGTCCTTTTACACCGTTCCAAAAATCCTGGACACGGAACTGAATTCTCCAATGTCCGAAAGCGGTCAGCTTCCAGAAGATGGTTCAGAGGCTCCTGATGATGATCACATTGTTGTTTCTTATTGTCAACCCACTGTTCATGGAGATACATCTAATCCAGTGCTAGATGAGTCGGCCACTCCTTCCCAGGTGGTGTATATAGATGTTCAGTCCATGTACCAACCACAGGCCAACTCCGAAGAAGAGCTGGAAAGTGACTTTTTGGATAGCAGTGGTTACAAGCCACAAATGCAGCTACCTATAAACTCTTTGACCATAGACAACCAGGCGCCTGCAGAAGATACCATAGTGGAATCTGCAGGTTATAGACCTCAGGGACATCCTAATACCTGGGCTGCGGATTCACCAGGTTCACCTACATCCATTGGAAGTGAAAATGCTTCTTTTGGAAGCCCTTGCTCTGTAAACTCCAGACATTTCTTAATCCCCCCAGTGGACAACAAAGACTCCCTCAAACCAACCCATATAGGATGGTCAATATCTTCTCTCTTTCAGAACAAACAGGATGATTGAACAAGTAATGATGAGTTATATGCTGTGAATCACCTAGTGTGTCCCTCAATCCATCCAGAAGTTCAGGAGAAGGGCTCTCAGCCTGCAGTGTGTTTGTACAGACGTTGCAATGAAAGGTGGATTGCAAGAATGATACCAGGTATCTTTTTAATGGTATCTGTTGACATGGGAATTGGATTTTTTTCTGCATCTAACTCTCATCTTGAAGCAGATGGAAATTGGCATTACTAAAATTTGACTCCTCTTAAATATACTGAAACACTACATTTCTGGTATCTTCGTGTAGGAGGGAAGAGATGTTTTCTTCTACACAAAGTTCGCTAAAAACCAGATGCATCTTGCACAATCCGAAAAAACTTCTTCATTGTAGACAATAGCTGGAAAGATGGCATTTTAATGAAAATGTGAATTTACTGGTAGTATGCCTATACATGCAATGGTATCTCAAATGGCAGGGTTGGGGAATTTTTATTGGGGATATTTAAGGGATTTACTTAGCTTGTGTGTATAAGGTCCATTTAAATCTTCAAAAATGCAACACCACAAAGCAAATAGTGCTTTGTGAGGACACCAGTTTGGTTGAGACTTGAATGAACAGTTTTTAAGAATTTTATCAGATTGACATAGTAAATGTAATTTAAAGTAAGGAATTTTAAGTTTTAGTAGGCAAGACATTGAAGAGAAGGTTCTTGGGTGTCAGTTTTTCTGTCACTAGAATGAAAGGTGGCTAATATTACTAAGAATATTAGTTGATGGTTTGAGCTCTAAAGCTGATGCTTTCCTGCTTCGCTTAAAGGGGAACTCTGATCATTGAAGTAGGTTTCATAGAACCAGTGGTAGAATTCTTTACTTTGGCTCTTTACTGTCCACATGACCATTTTAATAAAAGGGACAATAAGGGATTTTACTTGAGCTTTTCAGAAAATGAAATACTCACAAAAAATGTTTCCTTATTTTATAGAACACCGTCCATTCTTTTATGGTTTTAACTAGAGACTTAAAATGGCACTAACTGAGCAAACCCAAATACATTCTTGCAGGGCATAGTTTGGACATAATTTTTTAAACCTTTTTTGTAACATTTCTTTATTTTCTATGGAGATAGAAAATGTCCTTTTAATTTTCAGCAGTGGACTCACTAGTTTTTATCATTTATTAATGCCCACGTATGTGATAAAATGGCCCAGTACACTATATAGCTAAAAGTACGTGGACATCCTTACAAATTGTTGGGTTCTAGAGCACAAAAGTCAGGTCCATGAAGACCTGGTTTGGTGTGGAAGAACTCCAATAACCCACAGTCCTGAATGCACCCCTATTGGAAACTGTTGTAATGAATTGGAAAGATGACTTCCAAGTTAAGTCCTCTAGTTCGCCATTAGTACCTGACCTTAGAATGCTTGTTTGGCTGAATGAGCACACATTCCCATAGATGGACTACTCCAAAATCTTGTAAAAATCTTCCCAGAAGATTGGAGGCTGTTATAGGTACACATGATCGCATGTGTTTGTGTAGCGGAGAGGGCATGGTTTTGAAATTGGATGTCTAATAAGCTCATATAGGTATGATGGCCAGGTGTCCACTAATTTTTCGTCATATAGTGTATATTCCATTGTGAATATCCCTTTTTCTATAGGTCTTCCATGGCCTCTGCATGATCTCTTAAGGAATAGTATCCTGAGAGACAGACCTGATAAGACCACAGTTCACGGGGCAATTGTTACAAAACCTGAAGGAGAATACTGCACCTACCCAAACCCTTCCTCAGCATACAGGCTTCACTGGACTTTTCCTTTTTGCCAGTTATAGCCATGGCTCATTCTACTGTTCATGTTGCTAAATATCAAAGCCAACTAAGAAAACACTATTACAAGTTGTTAGGTGAACGATGGTGTCTTCATCTGGTTTCTCAAACACTAATCCCAGTCCTGCCCTATTAAATATTCACATTATAATGTATATTTGATAGTTAGCACATAGCTCTAAGTGTATATAAAATAGGTTTTGTTATTGCATGAATATTGCACTGTAGCAGACAGACTTGTAAATAGAACTGTAGATCATGTTTAGGACTCCATAGTATTATCACATAGTGTCAATATAGCATCCTTGCACTCCTGGCTCAGCCAGGTATACAAGATAAATCTGAATGGAGTATAAAAATGGTTATTGTTATAATGTATCTTAAAGGGCCAGTACAACAGTTAAGTTTGTTTTTATGAATACACTGTTAATACCCTTCGTAGATAAGTCATAAGGTATAACTGTATAGAGTATATGATCAATATGGTCGTTAACTATGTAAAGCATTTCAAAATGTTCTGTATAACTAAAAGGGGCTTCCGCTAGGGTTGTCCAACAATGAGATTAAGAGGAAGTCCACTGTGTGTACAAAAAACGCCCTCCCCTCAAATCTATATTACCTTCAATCCCCAGCGTTATAAGCTCCAGAAATGTTCACAGTTTATCTGTAAATATTTTGTTTAATCTTTTGTATAATCAGCATTGTAAATAAGGTTCACCGGGTCTTTACAGAAATGGTATGGCATTTTTGATTTGGCAAATGTTTTCAATGTCTCAAGGGTTTTTTTCATTTTATTTCAAAGTCGCTGGGCTGGTCCTGATGATGAACAATAGAGGCAGCTTTTCTGCCAAGTTCTGGTGGAAAATAATCCAGAATATCTGGAACACAAATTCATATGCCTGTGTGCATGAAGTCTTTGGGTTCTCATGGGCAGACTTAAAAAGGCAAACAGAGTGACAGATCTATACATAAACATATATATCTAAAACCATATATAAGGTGCAGCGCTATAATAGTAAAATGGCATATATAACATATAAAATATATATATAATAAAGTGCAAATGTCAAATCACACTGCGGTGAGGTTAAGTGAGATGAAAAAGTCCCAAACTAGGTCAAACGTGGGGATCCAATAGATCCTAGTAGGTGCGTGGGATAAGATTCTGTGTATCACACGGTGAATCTGAGGTAAAAATTGCGCACTCACCAGAAAGTGCGTCAAAAAAACGCATGTAAGGTTTATCCTGTGATATCAGATAGCGATCATCAATTGCCAAGATAGGGATAGAATCCTACACCTTCCAATCGCACCTTGGGTATATACTTCAAATTTCATATGCGTGTCTCAGGCGTGTCACCATCCGGGGTCCCCTTTTAGAGTAGATTCTGCAAGTGGGGACTTGACTAATGAAGCACTGTGAGCCTAGGCTGCGTGATGATGCCACTCAGGGGATGTGATGACGTTAGGAGTTTTTCAGCTTGTAGCGAGATCGTCACTGCCTTCCCAGGCTGTCTGATAAACCCATGCCAGAATGGAGTAGCTTGTCGTCTATGATCATAAGCAGGAGACCTTTTAGATGTCAAGAAAAATTGCTATGATTATGATAACGCCACTGAATATCGAGGTATTGCAAAGAAAAGCCTTTCGGGCTTCAGCTGCATGGTGTGCTGTGTAGAGTAACAGTAACCTATAGCAATTGGCCAGATCTGTCACTCTGTTTGCCTTTTTAAGTCTGCCCATGAGAACCCAAAGACGTCATGCACACAGCCATATGAATTTGTGCTCCAGATATTCTGGATTATTTTCCACCAGAACTTGGCAGAAAAGCTGCCTCTATTGTAGTGTGTTTATGCACATATGGCGTTGAGCATTAATACATTCTGCTGGTCAGAATATTAACTTATTCGGGCCATTGGAATACATTTATGCTCATCCACGCAGCATGATAAAACATTTGCAGCATTTTATATGCCCCTGTGCATGAGGCCTAACTATGATGCATGTGGTTTTCCCTGTAACCTGCTGTTCTGAGCAGAATTTGTGAACGTAGGAATAAAGTAGAACATTTGAGGTTTTACAGGGACACCATCATCGGTTTGACTTCATCGTTAAATATTTTTCAAAATCTAACATGGGACACTGGGCAAATGGCTAAATGCAGTGTTGCTATACATATAGGGGAACAGTTTTACCTGCCAGTTCGTGTCTGGATTTGTATTTCTCGTCATCCAGTCCTCATTTTTACACAGCTCTTCTACACAGCCACAGCCCTGTCTGGAGGGGAAGGAGATCTGATTTTTCTTTGCTGCAGTTAAATGACAATTAGATGTCTTGTCCTCCCCCCAGCTTTCGAATGGTTAGTGAAACAAGCAGCAGACTGATGAGCCCATTTATCTGTCAGTCTGCTTTCTCCTACTATCAGCATGCTGCTTGCAGGGCAGCACAACCGATGGACAGCTTGTGTTTTCTTCCATCTACTAGTTTGAGTTCTGCTGTGTAGATGGTTGATGAAAGAAGTTGATACCACACCAGATTCACATATTCATTTGAAGAGCTGCATTATTTGTGTCTTTTATATTTGCATGGAATTCAGCTTTAAATATTTGTTTTCCTTCGGTTGCAGAAGTTCATGTAAGAAGCCCTGCAATTACTGCCTCTCCTTGCTTGGCTCTACAGCAGATAATCCAGAGTTCTTTGAAAGCGAGAAGAGGTTTTTTTGGGTCATATTTTGTCTAGACATTTACTGACTAACTGTCACTTTCCTTTGTTGACCTGAATAACAGCTCTGATCTAAATAAGCAATCAGTGTGTGGGGGGGGGGGTTATTGGAATTCTTTTAGCACAGCCCTGTAGGCATGCTCTGCTGGAAAAACAAGTATAGTGAATTTGTAATTTGGAGCCAGGTTGCAGTAAATTTGTAATTGGAGCTCAATCATGGCTATTCAAAAAGAAGTATGGATAAAAAATTTTTTGGCTGTACTTCTCATCAAGTTCACAGGAGTACATTCATTTTTGTTTTCCTGTGACCCAGAGTCACCTAATAGTAAGCTATTGTCTATTATCAGCTGACAGTGCAGAGCCAGGCCAGGCTCGGGTTGGTTCCAAACAATATTGTCTGGATCCATCTGACTGCCTGATTGACAGGTGGCTTTGACATTTCAGCAGGTGGCTACAAGCCAAAGCTAGTCTTGT